GCTGTCAAAATGGAGTGGGAAAAAAGGCGGGAATGCGGCGCCCGTTTTATGTGAATCTCGTCATTGCGCCAGAATGAGAGGGTCTCATAAGCGGTCTCGGGAGGGAGCAGGACGTCGAATACCAACGTGGTTTATAAGAAAACCCAAGACGTTGGGCGTGTTTGGCGGGTGGGCGTGCGGGTTTCGTGGCTGTAGTTGTGTGCTGGTGTATGTGTGTGTTGTGTAAGAACGCGCGGTGTGCGGTCTACCGCTGTGTGGGTGCGGCGCGGTCTGTGTAAGCGAAGAGGTCTCTGTAAAATGCTCATCCTTTTGTCAACGATACGCCACTGTATCGGCCCCGAGCTTTACTCATTAAAGTGAACGCATTTAAATTTTATTGCCATATAAAATTTCCATATACTGTTGCGACGATCTATTATTTTTTAACATTCAGCTTAATGGCTTATTGCCCATCCTTTAATGATAATGGCTGACACAATGAATTGTGTAGGTGCACTATTATAAATAGTCTACTATTAATAAGTTATGATCGTAAATTTTATATTGTATTTATATTCCAAATATTCTTTAGTACAAAATATATATGTGATTTTAAAGCATTTAAACATTCTAAAATAAAGAAATCGAATAAACTGTTTATCACATACAAAAAAAGCTATTTCGCTCAACTTTTTGTGAACATAAACACCATTTTGAAATAACGTTCACGTGTGTCTTTAATTTTTATCGAATACAGTAAAGTACTTAATTTAAAATTATCTTTACGATAATAATACTAAATTAATTTAATTGACAATTTTCACAAGACGATATTTTTAAATACGAAAAAAATATTTTAATATGTATATTCTAAAAATAAACGTTATTCTTTTAAAATTAATACACAAAGTACCTCACTGATAGCTTAATAATAATCAAATGATATTACATTTAAATAATACATATTTTTGATTAGTTTATAAAACATTATAGTGGAATATTATTTAGTGGCCCCAAGAGAGAGAAGTATGAGAACGTCTCATCATCTTTAGCCTTTTAATGAGTCTATGAAATATTGCTTATGTAAAGTAAACCTAATCTATACAATAATAAGCACCTTTTTGCATAACATCTTATCATGAATTGAATCTTAATGTTCACACGAATAGTGAAGGATGATAATCTAAGTAAAGTTTAAGTTAGATGTTATGTTAGCTTGACCACTAGGCTGATAACTTAACGTAAACTTAGCGACCACTTTATTAATTACATATTAATCGTCTGTATATTTATCTTTTACAATTTATAAATTTTATGTTAAGTTATTTTTGTAGTCAAAATGAGGTTAGATAAGAATAAGAATAAAATAATAAAATGGGAATACAGGAATATTAACAATTAATAAAGACAATAATTTTTAGGTGAGTGTTAAATCTACTCAAAACAAAGCCTTAAAGTGGGTTGGGGTTAATCTTCTTATGTTGTCGATTATAGTTTTCCGTAGCTTTCTAAGCTTTGAAAGCAGACTATGCCAAAACATTTCCGACTTATGAAATTTTATTTTTTTTATTGCCTACAAGTCAACAATGTCCTATCGTACGCCTGTCTTGTACCTAACTATCTCTTTTAATACTTATTTGTACCCCACGCACACCAACGCAGCTCCCCCCGTGTCGCGTCACAGCGCTGTATCCGTGTGGGTGGACTTCTTTCGCCGCGCCTCTGTGTGCGAATTTCTTTCGAGACGTAATAAGGGGACCGTTTCTTTCCCGCTAAGGTTTTAATGTCGACCACGTTTCGGCGGCGGACGCGCGCGCCTCCGCGGTTATTCGCGAAAACTTTTTTTTTATTCAGTGCGCACCGAGGTGTTTTGTGTCTGAGTGCCAGTATTGTTAAATATGAGAACTTTTTAAACTTTTTTTTATTTTAACTGAGTAAGTAGCATTTGTTTGTCAAATATACGTTTGTTATATCTGTCAAAGGTAAAAGCGAAAACAATGCGTTGATGAGAAGCGTTTGGAATTAATTAATGTAAAGTTTGCGTAAGTCCGTGAAGACGGGCGTTGCGGGAGGTGCGGGGGCGGCTGGGGTTTTACTCTTATGTTTTCCCGAAAACCGCAGGCTCATTAGGCCCGCGCTCACTACGCTACGCCACGCCGCGACGATTAAACTTCTGATACGCCGTGTTGTGATAACATCGCACACGTTTCGCGGAGATGACTCGCACAGGATTAATTAAAGTTTTGTTTAAGTTTCACGTAACACAAAATATTAAGATTAACGATGCCTTCAACGAGGTACATACGTTATATAACTAAAACTAATTATAATTTCATGTGGAGTTTATTTATATATCTATTTTAGCAAATTATAACTAAGTAAATATCATTTAAACATTTTCCGTAATTGATACATAGACTCAAAGTACACTAATCGTGACAAACACATTTTTAATCGTATTCAGTTCCTTACATTTTTAATTATTTTGCATTTCTTCGTTATAAGGAAATTTCAATGCCAAAAAACTATCACAAATTTACATATTTGTTTTTAATTGATGATTTATCCGCCGGCCGGGATAACTGTTGACAGTATACAAAAATAATAGGAGATTTTAACAAATATCTTTTTGAGCTGTATTGAAAAAAAAAATCCAAGTGAAACAAAAGTCTATTTTTTAAAATAAACAGTTTTACTATTTAATTTTATACGTGAAATGAGACAAAGATCATTAATATTAATATAAACCATTACAGTCAGTTATTGTACCACTTCACTTGAACATCGTTCAAGGAAACTTGTTAAAAAGTAAGTGCGAACTCCCATTAGGATGTTGGCGTCCCCTAACTTTCACCTGTATCATTTAATTGACGCCCGCTGTTACTTCCTAACTTCATAATATTGGATTTATTCAAAAGTACTAAAATATTAAAAAAAAAGAAAACTGGCCATATAATAAAAAAATAAAAATAAAAAAGATTTACATCAGCAATTATAAATAAATAAATTATTATTCTTTATCATCCTCGTATGATTAGTTAGTATTTACAGTTCTTTAAATATCTTAATTTGTCTTTTTAGGTTAGAATTTTATTTAAAAAAATGTAATTTAAAATCACAACGTAAGTTTTGTTTTTTATTACGATTTTATGTAAATATCTTTTATTGTCTTTGACTAATTGTTATCATAGTGATAAATAAAATGATAGATAATAATAGGGTGGTTAAATAATTCCTTAACAAATTCGTACGTTGGGGTTGGCGACATTGTTCACGGCATTGGGCTGGTTGTTGGCGCGAGCTTTAAATTTCGAATACCGAACGTTTTGAATAGATTAAAAATTCCATCATGTTCTTTACTTAACATTTTCTTTTTAATCTACAGTTTTGTCTAATTTTATTTTTAATGGTATTTTTTTTTCGATTAACAGAGCATGATGAAGGATCCGTGGTCATATTCTATATAACAGATAATTTTCCACATAAAGTTAACACAGAAGAAGTAAGAAAGCAATATAAAAGAAAAGAAAATCTAGTCAATATTTCCAACTTGTCTTTTGTTTTTTGTAAATCTAATTAACTAAGCAATACGCATTGGCTATATTTTGCGGTAGTGTAGTTAGTACGTGTAGTGTATGCATAAACGTAGTGTTGTTTGTCTCGAGCGTACACGCCATAAGTACATGCCGGAGAGAGGGGACGTCAGTCGATGTCAGACCTTTGAGCCGGCAACACGTGTCGGTACGTGAACGAGCCAAATATAGCACAACGAATGCTACATTGGCGACGAGGATAAAACCGTGAGTACGGAAATAAATTGTATTTGAAAAAAAAAGGAAAGAGAAGACCAGTGTGTAAAAAAAAAAACATTTCAGTAATTGATGGACGAAAGTATTGCTTAAATTATTTTGCCTTACCTTACAAAAAAAAAAAATAGTAGGTAATGGATTGCCAAAAAATAGCAACAGTCTTCTCTGTTTACATATGATTTGTAAAACGTGGCCTTAAGTAGTTCCCAGCCGTGAATGTCTTAAAAACGGTTCAGAATGTAAACTTAACCAATTGAATATCGAGATAAGATCACAATATTTTACTATCAGAGAAACAGATTCATTGCTGTGCTCGTCCGTCTAAGTTGTTAACTAAAAGTGCACTACGATGTCACATCGAAGTACATGTGCAAGCGACAAATTAATTCCGGCCTATGGACGAAGCAGGAAATGAATAATGATTAAGAAAAGAAAATATCGAACAGTTACAATGATAAAATAAACATTACTACGAGGGTAGTATATCCACGACATATACATATATTGTCATGATTTCGACCAAAATCAATAATCAAATGCATTTTTAAGACTGTCTTCGACCGATGGTTGACAATTAGTGTGTAGATGGATAATAGCATTCGGCGATGTTAATCTCGGTCAACCTTATGTGTATACATAACTTCAATAATATAGGTACAGTCACCTCCAATAAAGTGTCAGCGATGGAGAAATTGCAAAGAATGCTAAGAAAAAAAGAACTCGGCTTGTACGATCGCTCGTATTCTCCATATTCCTTTATGCCTCCAAAACGTGGACCCTACGAGAGAGTGAGAAAAAGAAGATAGACGCGCTCGAGATGTGGTGCTGGAGAAGAATGCTGAAGATACCTTGGACCACCAATGTACTAAAAAGGCAGCGACTAGGTGGCGTCTAGTAAAGCAGATCACTGATACATGATGACCATGACCAATCTGACAAAACTGTAACGACGAAGAAGAAGAACTTTTGCACTTGTCTACAGAGTATAGCTGACCATTAAATTGGTTAGATCATTGGTGTCTTGGAGATATAAAAGAACCGCGGCTGACCATTAAATTGGTTAGATCATTGAATTGTTACAGGTATAAAAGCACCACGGCTGACCATTAAATTGGTTGGATGATTCATGTCTTACAAGTATGAAAACTGCATAGCTGACCATTAAATTGGTTAGATCATTGAAGTCTTGCAAATAAAATAGAACCACGGCTGACCATTAAATTGGTTAGATCATTGAAGTGTTACAGGTATAAAAGCACTACAGCTGACCATTAAATTGGTTAGATGATTCATGTCTTGCAAACATGAAAGCTGCATAGCGGACCATTAAATTGGTTAGATCAGTCATGTCTTACAGACATGAAAGCAGCACGGCTGACCATTAAATTGGTTAGATCATCTCATCGTTAAATCGATAAGTTCATTTACAGCCTGAAAAGTTATCAAGTACATAAATTAAGAAGATTGAAACCCTGATCGATAAATTGATATTACGAGTGGTAAGAAGTTTGAAGCTAAAATTTGTGTGAGGCAAACTGTTAACTAAATTAAGGTGAGAGGTATCTAAATTAAGGTGAGAGGAAATACATTATCTACAATAAAATCAAAATAATGACTATTAATCAACTATATGGCTACAGTACATGTTTTATAATTAGAAAATCCATCAACAAAACAAATCATCAATAACATGTCGTTTGTAAAGTTACAGATTAATAAACGCAGCACTCGGCGAGCAAGTCTAATTGTTGTGCCGAAGGTGAGTGGAAAGAGATATAACATACGAAGGAGTACAGCTTCATAAGTTGTTACTGTCATCTTTATAAATGTAAGTTCAGTTAATCAATTTAAATCTAAGCTACCTGAATACATTTTAGATTTTTGTAAAAAAGTAAAGTAAATTTAAGTCAAATCAATGGCGACTATATTATGTACATTGTACGATATTGTTTTCAAGTAAGTGACTATTCCTTTGTCTTTTTGAGAAGTAATTCTTTTAACCCTGTTATAAGCACCTTACTACAAAATACGTAGTACAAAATGATATATAATGTGATTGACTATTAGTCACCTTTTTTTATGAATATTTACAATATGTATAACGCAATTTCTAATATTATATTGCCAGTTACTAAAGTCATCATAATTGGCTTTATTAACGAATCCGTGGCTAATGCTGGATTGGTGAAGTTTCCAGAGATACTATTAACTACGAGTATATGTAAGTTCAAATCTCGTGATGTACTGTGCACTAAACGAATTTCGATTCAATAATTGTGAAACAGATAAGTAGTTTCCGTTTCCGGCGATAGATGACTCTGTATTTAAAATACATCTGAAATTGATTTTATTGCTCTAATTTGGTAAAAATAAGAGCGGAAACGTGTTTTTCTTTGATAATGACATGCTACATTTGCCGTAAAATAGAATAAATAAAGGTTAATGTTTTCTTTCTGAAATAGCTTTATTTATAGCATAATTATTGGACCAAGTCATGGAGGAATTCATTGTAAAAGTCGCTGTTTAGGCAACTCCTCGCTGAGGACACACTAGTCGCAGTCGGGGTATGTTGAAGCTGGATTTTGTTATCAATAACCCACAAAAAATTGGTGAGTCAACTTGAATTATGTTTTAACGGCTTTAAACTCAATTTAGGGAGTAGAAATACCGATTTATGAAATATTGAACCAAAATCGCACTATCGACTTATTTAAACGACTTTAACACACCGCCTAAAAGAGTGTTTCAAATCAAAGAGATTTTGTTGACATAATATATAATTTTACTTTTAAATGGCATTCCATTTGGATTATTATAAGCTGAATAAAAAACGATTGCGGAATAAAATGCTATCCCTTAGTTCTACAAGTAACTTAACTATTTTCATACAGAAATAGCTACCTGTTTGATTGTAAATAACATTAGAGAATAAACGGCAATGACAAGTTCATTTGCTGACCTGTGAAAAGAAGGGACAAAGAGTTTGTCTCTTTATGTTTATTTATGTTACGCTTATATTGAAAAAGACTTTTACTATGTTCAGAGTAGTCATTAGCAATTCATTGTTACATATAGATATAGTTGAACATCTGATAAAATTGAAAACTTATAGTGGCATTTAAATATTGTCCATCAAGTTAAATATAAAGTTCAACATAATTAAATACCGTTAGTGACTCTGTGTTGTGGGTTGAAAGATCTCAAATAAGCTGGGAAATAAATTTGGTAATTAAATATAAAAAAGGTATAAGTCTTGACTTTTGAAACCTTCATTCAATAGAAAATGTAACATCTTTGAAGGAGAAGAAACATTAAATTGTTAACATAGTAAGTTAGTCATTTTCAGGTTATGTATTAGAAAAGAAAATTATCATTGACTATTCCATAATATAGGGATAGAACATTCTTATTGATGCGAGGGTGCCTTCATCTGTCTGTCTATCTGAGCTTAGGTTTGGTACATTGATGGACGGGAGCCTGGGACCATTGTCATGGACTGATTTTGATGTATTGGAATATGTGAAGTTTGTGCGAGTTTTTGTGGGTTTAATATGTTTCAGTATAAAACTTAATAATATTAAGTGATTAGCCTAAGTGATTGAAATGCTATCCAAGTCAGTATTTCGTACGAGCGAAGTCGCGGGCACAGTTACATCTGAAAATTAAAAAGTAAACAAGTTAAATGGTCACACAATCAGTTACATCTTTTGGTGTTCCAACCAACTAGTACTGTGTCTACAGTGCATAACATTCATAGTAGAGAGTAAAATTTTATTGTTGCTACTAGCGTAAATTATCACGCCTAGGATACATTCAAACTGTTAAGTACTTTTAAGTACTGTTAATTATTAAACATATCTTTTTAGCAAAATATTTGGCTTCGACATTAATAATTTACACAAAGATAACAAAGTAAACGTCAATTAAAATCCCGCTTCCCATACGGTAGAGACAGGTATTGATGGCGTTATTGAAGTTTGGAATATTTTAACGTGACAAATGTCAAGACGAAAATAAGTTTATTTAAAAAGAATTGAGGGACACTGGAGCGATCTAAATAACAAATGGAAGGAAGTAGAGCATATAGAAGGAAGAAATAATGGAAACATGGAAGATAAGTATAGGACGGTAACAAATATCTATGCAGTTGTTGTGAAAATAATTATTAAGTGAATTTATAGAAAAATGTTATTGAATCTAAGTTTATTAAACTTAGAAAATGGATATACATGTAGAAGTGTAGAGAAACTTAGAAAATCGAATTTTATGTATACTTGTATTCTATTAATTGATAGTTTTAGAATACAAGTACCTATACTTAGCAAGATTAAATATATTAAAAAAAGGAAGGGATGTAGTGTATGCATAAACGTAGTGTTGTTTGTCTCGAGCGTACACGCCATAAGTACATGCCGGAGAGAGGGGACGTCAGTCGATGTCAGACCTTTGAGCCGGCAACACGTGTCGGTACGTGAACGAGCCAAATATAGCACAACGAATGCTACAGTACGCAAAAAACTTTTCTTTAATGTAAAATCTTGGTTGTACCGGGGTTGAGTTTTAATAAATTACGTCACCGACCTCCGCCGCATTCCTCGCGATTTATATTTAACTGCTTGATGGTGAGATGTTGTTTATTGTCCCTGATATTGCGCTCGCGGGGGCCGACCCTTTGCTGCTAACAAATTCAACTTTATTGTATGATTTTCTTAAAACAAAAAACAATATTGAAATGTTCACTTGTTCTATTCTAACAAAGATTATTTTCCTTAACTATTATAAATTCTGATTTTTTTTCTATGGTAGATCCGTTGATAAGTAACTTTCTAATATTATAAACGCATATGTCTAGATGGATGGATGGATGTTTGTTTGAAGGTATCTCAAAAACATCTGAACGGATCTTACATCATACAGCATACAAATAGAATAGAGTCGAACATATAGGCTACTAATCATATTTTTAATTATTACTACACGCGGACGGAGTCGCTGGCGACAGTTAGTACTTCATAACGGACATATTACCCGTGTTGCTTTTTAGTATGCTATTTTTCGTTTATCATTTTAAAACTATTTGTTTTAAACATAAGAGCTGGAAGGAATATGTAACTAGTAATATCATAAATACCCCATAAAATTTGTATTCAACTGTACTTGTAGTTTTGTTATGCAAATGTAAAGATGACGTCTTAGGAAGAGTCCCGGAAATCCGACACTTGTCGGTCGTCTTGCCATTTGAATATCAGTGGCCTTTCGGACACGGTCGGATATTACATTTGCTAACGGTTAGCTAACCTATTTGTACCCGTCTCTGGTAGACGATCATTATCCATGTCCGACGGGTCTCTGGGGAGGCCCTCAGGAATTCGTGTCCCTACACCTTCTATTGATTCCGCTCGTGTTCTCTTTACAGTAGGGCCGATAATGGATGTTATTAGAAAACGAAGGGTTTCGTAGATTTTTTATATGTACAGATGTGACGACGAAATTAGATTTTGGAATGTAAAATACGAGCTAGAATTCTTTATGTACAAGAATATTTAACTTTGTTCATAGTTGTGAAGTTTCCATGTCAAATAAATGTAACTCAATTTTGCTGATTGATTCAAATTAACGATGTATTTTAGACTTTAAGATATAGAATTTACCGGATAATTTATATAAAAAGACCAACACTTTTACATCAACAGTTCTTTTAATATACCTCCAGAAATCGCTTATTTTATCCTACTTTGTATAGCCATTTTAATCCGTCTAGTTCGAAATGAAGTATGAGAAATTAAAATCAAAATTAAACTTTTTTTTAAAGACAATATATGTTCAGTATTTTTAAAGCACTGTTAGTAAACGTTGTAACATTGAAAACGGAAACAGCACAATATATGTTTACCCCATTCGCCGCGTTCCTTTGTGGAAGGGTGCAGGGCCGAGTAACGAGGGCTTACCCACTTGTCGGTACCCCCACACGGCCGTACATGCTTTATTATTTACGACCTCTTCCCTTTCCGCATGTTTTTAAGTTAAGATTTTACTGCGTTTCTATTCATGAGATAAATCCATTGCGAATCTCTGTCGGAGTCTCCGCTGATGCTTTAGGGGTACGTTTATGAGTGTATGTTTAATACTTTATGATTGCCTTAATTAAGAATTCATACATGTTATGATTCTACTGTAAAATGTGGATACAGTGTTAAAGGCATGATATAACTGGTAATCCAGTTCTTTATAGCCAAATTATTAGTCCCATACAACCCCAAAAAAGCTTTTAAAAGTATCAAAGACAAAAGTTATGGAGTTGTGGTTATGCAATGGCTTCTTAAATGATTGGCTGTCGATAAGAGCTTTTAATTAGTTGAATTTTAATTACTAAAACTTGTCTAATGTTATGCTGTTATTGTTCCTTTACATCCATTTACGATAGGAATCAAAGAGAACACGGTGAAAGGCAGTAAAAGACATGTTGGGGCATCACCCCTTCAAGAATTAAGTTTAACATCGCGTTCGACATATCGCGTTACGCAAACATCCATCGGCCTATTTGTCGTGTGCCCCGCCTTGGGGTTCGGGAACACTACTTCTAAATATTAGCAATACGTTGTCAGAATAATTTGGTATGTTTTTCTTGAAGGCGCATTTCCAAGTTTTACGATATTTTCTGGAAAG